TCCTCTGGTCAACTACATTGGATTGGATGTTTATAAATTTGTGAAGAGTGCAGATCTCAAGAGTTCTTACCACCAATTTTTAAAAGACTCTGAATAATAGATATATAATTTAAAAATTACTGGTTTGTTTAAAAATACCCAAATGCTGTTTTCTTTTTTGTTTTGAAAAAAATAAATTATCTCATTAGAGGTAACTGGTCATTTATTTTAAATCAAAATTATAGCAGAATGGAGGAACTGTTTTTTTTTAAAAAACCAAACATCTGAAATAGTTATTGAACTTGAATTACTGGAAGTGGAAGTATGTAATTATGAAAAATTGAGAAATCCTTCGAAATGTGCATATATATTTTAGAGTTTTTCAAAGTATATCTACATGAAGCCAGCAGATGTTGGCTGTGTGTATTCATACTCTTTATAAGTAGTGTAAACAACAAATATTTAGCATTTATATACCATCTGACAGAGCAGTCAAGCATCACAAAGACATTTATTTGTTAATCATGAAAGGAAATAGGTGTCAAGAATAATTTAGAGTATATTATTTATGTCACAAACAGGCTAATTATATAAACCTAATAATGGAGGAGTGGAGGAAAAAAATCTGCTCAGGGAAGAAGCAGTTTTGGTTTTTGTAAGTTAAGGAAACTGAAATGGTACATTAAACTTTTAACATGCAGAATTTTCTCCTTTATGGAATTCTTTGGAAATATTTTTCTATGCACAATACAAACTTTGAAAAAGAGAGGAGAGAAAAAAAGCCCAGTACATATCCATTATGCAGCTTTATATGTTGAAAATAAATTGGCCATGTTCTGAGGCAGGAATCAGGTCTAATACCTGTGCTCTAATTGTTCACTTTAATGACAACTGTACATATGTCAACGACACAGTAACAAGATGAGAAGTAAAGAGTATCAGGTCTCTGAAAATGCCACACAAAGTATTTAGATATTACACAAAAGTGGCTTCTTCTTTGTTAACTTTCAACTCATAGATTTCATAAATGAAAAACAGTATATTCTTAAATAGTTGTAGCTTATTTGTCAATTCATCAGTGTAATAATATCTCATTAACACAAAAATATTAATTTCACTGAATCTAATTTGAATCTGCATTTTTTATTCATAGTAAGAATTCAGTTTTTTAGGTGAAAGAGAATAGTTAATATTTGACTAAGTGATTATAATTTTTACATATTCATGATTGCCACTATTTTGATTAATTTTCATGACTTCAACTGACTCTGATGGTTGAAGTAAGTTTTCCAGATCTTTTGTATGAATTATCAGTATTTCTCCTATAAAGAAAGACTACAAGTGAAGGTAAAATACATTAAGGGTGTATTGATCAGTTTAAAAGTAAACACCAAAGTTAATTTTCATATAATTTATAAAGTGATTTACATATATCAAGGATTCTTGACATAGTAATTTGTACCAAATCCTTAGGGGGAAAAGTCAGCTGTATCAAATTTTTCTAGAAGCAACTAAATATTAATGTTAGTTGCCAAGTACAGAAATGATTCCTTTTAAATGTTCTTAGTTTTCTTCATTTTTAAAAATAATGAGCACCAGAATGACTTGGGTAGATTATTCTAAGGGAAGCAGCATAGCATATGTATAAAGTTCAAAAAGGCTGCTTCAGTCATACTGTGTTATTTAAAACCCTGCTCTGACATTGCTAATGTTTTCTCTTGTGCAAATTTCTTAACCTGTATCCATTTTCTAATCATAAAACAGAAAAGTGGTAATGCATATATCCCCAGGTGCTTTTGAGAATTAAATAAAATAATCCATTTAAACTAAGCTCATCAAAAATGCTACTAACATTTTGGATATAATAATTTCATTAAGATTGAGGTAGTCTCAGCTTAAAAATCAATTAGTTTTAAGACTGAGGAGTTTAAAATTTTTGCTTACACTTCACTTAAAGGAGATGGTTTTTAAGAAATGTTAACAATGTATTTGTGAAAGAAAACATTTTTGACTTCACTCTTCCCTGCAAACTTAAACACGGGGCTTCAATTGCTAGCATAGAATTTGAACCACCATTTATTCATGTTTCTTAGATACTATCTCTCAAATTACATCTAGAAGTCTCCTATCTGTTTACTGTAGCTTGTATTCTACACCAATGTAGATGCGATAAAGTATAGAAAAGCATCTAAAATATTCTGCAAAAGTCAGCATGGGTTTAAACAGTTTCATTGGTTCAATTATCAGTGGAGTTATCTCTATTTATGTAGCATTTAGAGTAAGCATTCCAAGCAGCTTCATAATCAAATTTTTAGCAGGAAAAACATAGATAAGGAAAAAGCAAAACATGTTCCTATAGCTTTTCTTTATGCATACATTTATTTTATACTTAAGAGTTCCATTGTTTTGGCTGAGCTTTCCAATAGTTGTACTGGGTACACAATTATATTACAGAGATAAAGCCATTTGAGAAAATACTTCTTTGCTTTTACTAAGTTGATCAAGACATTTTGTTATAAGTAGTAGATAAATCATCTACTGTAATTTACATAGGCCCTTATTACCCCTAATGACTTTCTATAGGGTCCTATTAGAATATTTTTTTCTTAATAATAGGCCTAAGTATGTGTAATCTAAAACATTAATAAAAATGCAAACACTAAATTTAGATATTATCTATTATTTCTTTATGTTGTAAATCCCGCAACTTTACACTATTTGAGGTCTTAGTTACTTCTGAAAATTTCAGTGGAAGAAAGCAAGTTTAAAAAAAAAAAAGCTGTTAGAAGACCAGCTATTTAGAATTTGAATTATATTTATTAAATACGACCTGCAAAAATAAATTCATTTGAAATTGACTCTATTATTTAAACACATTCTCTGAATTATTGTTATACTACAATCTCACAAATGATACTTTTTGACATTCTAGGACATTGTTATAATTTCCCAAAGTAAAATTATTTTAGGTAACAGAATTTGGCAAAATTTAAATCAGCAACTTCCTCTTTTTTTTCTTATGAAATAGGTGTCTCTCAATATCTGCATCCATCTTTCTGTGTCCATATGGTTTTGAACAAGTAGTGAAAGTATTCACTATTTGCTGTGTACCCACACTTGTATAGTTCAGCTGGAATACCATCTGGTGTGGTACTCTTCCCATTTTCCTCATTTTGATTGCTTTCTCAGTCTGGAAAATGGTAGCTTGATCGTCCAACGTGTCTCCAGATGGCTGCTAGATCTTTCAATGTAATATCCATCAACAATATTTGATGGGTTATTTAAAGTTCATCCAAGGTGTTTGCAAGTTATTTAACTGGTCATAAAATATCAGAAATTTTATTTGGAGAATATCATAATCTTAGATTTTAGGGACGATATCTTTTGGATCAGTTTAAGAAAAGAAACAAGAAAACACATTCATATCTTTCTGAGAAGCAGATGGCTACTCTTACAGTGTTAGTTATCCAAAATTGTTTCTATTTTTACTCTTCTCTACTGGTAAGATGACATTTTAGTGGAAACAGCATCCTTACTTACAGACTGTCTTTGTTCCTTGAAGGACAGTTATTAAAATAAGAAAGCATATGAAATTAAATTTCTGCAGAACAATGAGGCAGCCCAACAGAGCTATGAGAATCAATCAATGGAAATGGAGTCATATCATAATGATACCATGAAGATGCAAATATGAGACAAGTGTAAAGCTGTGAGGAAATGATATTGTGTAGCCTATAGTGAATATAGACTTATCTGATAGAAATCTTAGCTTATTAATCTCCTTTGTCTGCCTCCCTAGTTGCATTTTTGGTGTGATCTGTGACCTAATCTGGATGGGGGATATGTGTACAGGTGTCCACACACCAATAAGCAATTCTCAGACACCAGCAGGATGTCCTAAAATTAAACACAATTCTCATACCATCAAACCATATGCAGCATCAGATTCCACAGGTAAAAGGAGGTTTTGCCAAGATTTCAGATGCTGGTGGCAAGTCTCAGGCAAACCCAAATCATTATTTTTGCGTCTAACCAACTTGTTGTAAGTCAGAGATATGATAAATCCTCCTCAGGTTCCATTAATTTGTTAGAATGGCACACAGAATATAGGAAACCTGTTTACTCACTATGTAACAGGGTGGTCCCCAGGAAAGGGAGAGGTTCCAGGTTTCCTGCCCCACCCAAAAGGAAGGTGGAGCTGAGCAGAGAAGAAGCTGCAGAGGAGACTGAGGAAGGAAGAAAGCAGCATGGAGAGCCAGAAGGAGACCTGGAGGAGGCACATGGAGCTGAGAGACACATGAAGAAACTGTGCTTGCCTTTTGGTCGTGGGCTGGTTGATACAGACCTCTGGGGAGGTGACAATGGTGGTTTTTGTCTTGATTTTGATTTTGCTCTTTTCCTTCCAGACTTGTCTGGATGTTTCTGATCCTTTTTTGTGGGTCCACTCTGGAAGGTACTTTAAACTTGTGGCAGGCTTTGGGGCCTTGCTCTGGGCTAATCCCGTTTGGGTGTACTTTTACCCATGAAGGGATGGGTAACTTTGGGTGTTTGATTTAGAAACTATATTCTTTGCCTTTCCTGTTGTTTCCTAATTGTATTAAAGTTATTTTTCATTAAAGTCTCATATGTTTTGTGTTGATGTGGTGGATGGCAGAACTTATTTAGAGCAGGCAGGTTTGTGGGGTCTGGACTGCCCCTCTCCCTGCCCTGTAACAACTAGATCATTTTTAAAAAGAATTCAAATAGCCAAATGGAGGGGGAGGGTAGGACAAGATATGGGGAGATGGCAAGGAGCTTCTTTGCACTCTCTCAAGGTGTCCTTCTCCCACAAATATTCATGTGTGAATCCTCTAGAAGTTCTCTGAAGACCTTTCCTACTGGGCTTTTATGGAGGTTTCATTACATAGCACAATTAACTCATTGGCCACTGGAAGTGAACTCAGTTCCTCTCCCCTCTGGGGAAATCAGGGAATGGGACTCAAAGTTCCACCCTCTGTTCCTGTTGGTTTCCTTGACAACCAGCCCCCAGCCTTAGGCATTCTCCAAAAGTTAACCTCATTAACATAACAAGACACTCTTTAACATCCTCAACACTTCAGAAATTCCAAAGGGTGCTGTGAGACAGGAACTATGGGTAAAGATCAGATAAGTATGAAAAACATATTTTGGTCATCTGCATGACCAATTACATATATTTGCTAGAAATCAAAATATCACACTACCAACTCTTTAATGAGTTTTGAAGCACCAAAGAAGTATCATTTCTTAAAGTATCATTCTACACTCTCCTTGGTTATGTAAAGGGGGGGGGGCAGGGAGTACTTAAAAAGTTTGTGTTCCTCTAACCAACTCCTGTTTCATGCTTAGTTGATCTTGATATTTTCTTGGTTACATTTTCCATTTTTCTCACTCCTTCATTTATCCTTTCATTTCAGTGCCTACCAGGGATTCGGGAAAAAAAAAAGAGAAAGAGAGAGAGATAATATTGAAAGGACCACTGTGTACTCAGGGAACTCTTAATGAGGAAGAAGAAGGTAGATGAACCAATAATTACGGTAAAATATAATGGGAAAAGTAAAGTATTCATAAGGAAATAAAAAAGCATAGAAACTCCCTAACTCAGCCAGGTAGACTGCATCTTTATGTCCTCTTGATGAATGGCACATAAACAGCTGCTTTATGAGTTTATCTTTCACATAAGATTTGCTGAAGCACATTCAGTGACAACATTTGTTGTATAAGTGGAGATATTTCTACATGGCTTAAATCCTCAACAAGGAGGGCCTCCCTGATGGCACAAGGGGTTGAGCGCAGTGCTGTGAAGCTGTGCACAGCTTTTGAAATGTGAGTTTGATCCCTGGCTTGGGAGCTACCCACATGGCGCAGCAGACTTCTCCTGCCTTGCCAGCTGCTCCCCTCAGCAGTGTACCTAGGTCTATCTATCTGCCTGTTCTGTTCCCTGCTCTGTCTCTGGTGGATCCTCTCCCTCCCACACCTGTGGCCTGTACACCAGTTCTTGTAATGCTAAATAAATAAATCTTAAAAAAATCTCAACAAGCAAACCATACGTGAAATTGGAACATACTTTTAAATTTGCCACATCTGTATAATAAATGTGCAAAATGTTTCTGAATTTATTATCCTGTCTTTCTTTTTTTTTAAGGTATAATCTTTCATTTACTTATTTATTTCATTTACTTATTTACTTATTTATTTATTTTTCCCAAATATTTATTTATTTATTTATACAAGCACAGGGTACAGTCAGAAGTGCGGGAGGGTGAGAGAATTCACCAGAGCCAGAGCAGGGAGCAGAGCAGGCAGAAGGACCGAAGTACACTGCTGAGGGGAGCAGCGGGCGGCAGGAGAGGTCTGCACGCCATGTGGGATCCTCCTCTGGTGGCCGGGGAGCAGCTGGGGATCGAACCGGTGCTGCAGAGGCTGTGGGCAGCTTCACAACCCAGTGCTCAACCGCTGCGCCACCGGGGAGGCCCCCCGTCTTTCTTAATACTATGTTAAAATGGAAAAGATGTTCATGATTTTTACCTTGTATCTATTCAGTCTTTGAATAAAACTTTATTTTATATAGCCTTTAGAATAGGACCATAAGTTAACTTTGACTTTCAAGCTGCAGCCTCCAGGTTAGATTATTATCACATATCTTATTTTATGAGTTTACTGAGATTCTTGATACCTCTAACTTTTACAAAATAGAATGCTCTACAATTTACCTTCTTCAAAGTGCATTTGGATTCTGTTACTTTTATCTCACAAGAAATGTGTTAACTCCCTATTAATCTGTTAATTTATTTCAAAATTGATTGATTGAAACATGACATTTAAATGATTTCTATGTTTTATAATAGCATTTAAATGAGATTTAGAAATAATCTAAAGACTCAATGGTACTGTTATATGGCACAAAGGAAACCTGGACACCAGGGCTAACAAGAAGCAGGTTTAATGCATCGGTGCTAACTCAGCGGATTTATATTCCAAGGCTGAGCCCAGTCTGTAGGAAGTCAGGGGCTTATATACACAGTCAGTTTCTACAAGGTTCCAGGTGGGTTTGCATTGGCAGCTATACATGGTCAAATATGCCTTGGCTGCATACTGAGAGGTAAATCATATAGTTGCATACCAAGGATGAGTGAAGGGTCAGTAGTCACGGGACCCTCCAGGTCCATCCTGCCTCATGGAGGTATATGGTCTAAGATTGATATCAGGGACTAAGTTGTATACCAGGATCTGAGCAAAAGCTTGTTGTTAAAGTCCCCAGGCTGCATATCCCAGGTAACCATGCTTCAGTACCTGCTTCAAATACTAGCCTCAAGTTTCATAAAACATACTAGTCTTAGTTTATTTTAAATCTGGTATATTATATCTAGTAGAGAAATACAAAGCTAGTGAAGTGATTCAACTTCATATTGAACTCTTGTCACTTTGTACCAGTCATTTGAGAACAATTGGACCTAAATAACTTCAGATGTCATAAGAAAAGGCAAGTCCTTATGTTATACACACAAACCAAATTAATTAAAATTTTTCTTACTTTTCATTATTTTTTTTGGTGTCACATAGATGTTATATCATTTTCATATACCAATAGTATATCATTTTATAAATCAATAATTTTAATGAAAATTTATTCAAATTCACTTTCATAAATACAATCTGTAATAGATCTATAAAATATTATTTAATTAAATTTTTGGTGGTATGATATAAATATTTCAAAGCAAGATAAAATACTTTCTAACTAGCACCCAAGTATAATCAATAGAGATGGCAGGACACTTCAGTTACACTTTGAGGTAGTCCTTTTTTTTTTTTTTTCTGAAAGGATGATTCACATGAAAATATATTTAGATGTCTTTGAGAATTTTTTGTTATGTTCTATCTTCCCCAAATATGGTATATATTTTGGAAATCAAATGCACTGATTATGAATAAGAGGAAATAAATTTCCTTAAATTTACCACTTAAAGGACTAGAAATTATCACAATGAAATTTTGTATATAAAAACACATAGAATTTTCCCAGATTATTATAACAGAAAATCCATAAAGTGGTCATAGATCTGAGAGATCAGTGTCCAAATAAATAATATCAGTAAAGAATATTTTAAATATTAAGTACTTAATCCACCCCCAATCATAAAGCAGTTTCAAAGGAGTAATTTCTTTATTTGCCCAAATTACTACAACTTTTCAAAAATGCCTATCTCTTCAGCACAACATTGTTCAGAAAGTTGGTGTTCCTAAGAATCATGATAATTAGTGAAACTGAAGGATAAAGCAGATAATACACTCCTAAAATATTCTGATATGTCTCAGAGTCTCTGTACTTGGTATTATCTTGGCTTAGAATACTCTCCATTAGGCACTGGTTTTGTTGCTGTCTTTCAGGATCTCAAAATGACCCTTATTCCGCCTTATCTAACTGGTTTCCCCAGTGAATCGCTATCTCCTCAAGGTATTATTTTCTCTATGGAAATTTTCTTAATTTGAAATTATTTTTCATCATTACAGGTTTAATTGTTTATCAGTCCATCTTCTCATGCTGAAAATCAGGTGAGTTTTCTGTATTTATAAGCAATATACACCCAGTGTTTTGCATAGTACCTGCCATATATTAGGGGTTCAATAAATAAATGTTGAACACATAGTGAATGAAATCAAACTAAACTATACATCTTTGGGGCTAAAATTCCTACCAATCCCAAATCATCTTAAGTGATGTATTTTTTGTGTTTGAAAGAATCATATGTTTCAAGAATATATACTTAATATGTGCTTAAAATTATGTGGAACTATTTATTATTACTTTTCATATAAAAACTTGGGATTTTTATCATTATTGATACAATAGTAATATGAGAGCAATAATAACTGCTGAAAGAAATAATTCTTTTCACATCGTATCATTTACATTTTTATCAACTTTAGAAAAAGAGAAAATGGTGAGAAAAATCTGTAAAGAGTTTACACACAAAAGAATATTTCAACGAAGGAAAATATGTCAGCTTGCTATACCATATTTTGTTCTTTCAAAATATTACGAAATTGACATAGGACATAATGGTGTTTGATGTTCTAAGAAAAATACAATATGTTTGAGAAACTGTGTATGTGATATAGATGCATAGCTATGAGAAATACATGAGGAACTTTAACATTTCAAAAACACAGATTTCCAAGAGTATATATATATGTGTGTGTGTGTGTGTGTGTGTGTGTGTCTTAACATTGCTTGTGTTCTATAATTAATTTATATTCTATTGTAAAGGGTCATTCACTTATCTGTTACAATACCACAGCTTGAGCTCCTATTATTGTCAATATATTTACATGAATAATATGTAAATGTATTTAAGTATAGTGCTCTTGATACAGTCTAAGTTGTTTCATATGAATATATACAATATTATGCTTTCTGAAGGAGATAGATTTTCATGCTTTATCACACATACTGTAAATATCCTTGATGCTTGTACTATATCCCCATCATCCATTTATTTTTTTTTTACATATGAAGCATAATAAAGGTAGAATACTAAATTAAAACTTTGTAACAGCCTGATCCATGGAAAGTCAATTTCGTATTTTTATCTGTTTCAATGATCTGATCAGAATATGGACTTCTTTTTATATCAACAAGGGCTTTGTTCTGTGGTTGAAGCCACGAAGTCAGATGAGAATCTGCAAAATACTAGAGAAATATTGTCCAATGGCATTATTACCATGAATAACATTTTTCTCTTTTCCTTCTCAAAACAAAAAATAACAAATTTCTCTGGGATTACATAATGTCACATAAGACTAAAGCTACTTCTATCACCTGATTCTGCAGCTGAAAGAAATAAGATGCTACATGCTGGTTAAGGTGACATTACAGCTAGTGGCAGAAAGCGGAATAGAACCCGAATTTAGCAGTTCCCAGGCTGATGTTCATTTCTGGCATCGCTCAGATTCACTGGTTGTTTTAAGAAGGCTAATGAATGTCAGAGTAGTGGCAAGAACCAAACAAAGGTTTTAATACAGTCTTAGGTTCTTGCACTTATCAGCTGTGTGACTTTAGGTACTGACAATCCCTGTGAAACTCAGTTTTCTTATTTTTAAAATACCAATAAAATATCTGACACATAAGATTGTTTTCAGAAGTAAATAAAAAAGGTAAGAGAACTGTATACAATGCCTGCCACATGGTAGGCATTCAAATAAAGTGTACCTATTAATATTATGATGATTTGTAATTAGCATTATTTTTATAGTTAACCATTACTACTACAAGCATGAGTAATCTTACAACATTCTACAGTAAGAAAAAATCACTGGGTGGGCAGAGCTCAGTTGACAGAGGAAGAATCTAGCATCACTTTGGCAAATCGTGACTGCACTTAGTTTAGAAGTAATTAGTCCTACTCAGCCAAGGTAGCCTGGAAATTGACTCTGAGACCATTTTTGCAATTTTATGTGGAGAGAAATGATTCAATATTCAGTAATGGTTAGGTACTTTCAATGTTCAGCCCTGAGGTCCTTGTGTAACTACGATGTTGTCTAAATGGAATGGGAGTTTTGTGTGCAAAATGACAGCAGGAGCGACTTCTTCATCAGATTTACACAGAAAAGGAGGAGATTGTGCTATCAAGTGAATGCCAATGAGAAAATGTGCTGAATGTGAAAATCAGCTATTTTTAAGGTTAACATAAATATTAGCAGTAATAACTGGACACAGAGTTGTCCTTCCAGTCTCTGTATTTCATAAAGGAGAAACGAATACAATGTTTGTTTATCATGTTATGTTTGAACAATATTTTATTCAAATAAATGCATTTAAATAGCTTATAAATTAAATAGGTTTCATAAGATTGTTTAGTGATTGAATAAAAAATGAAAACATTAGGATAACATGTATGTGAAGAAGAAATATGTTTATAATATAATAATAGTGATGATGTTGATAAATATTTAGTATATCAAACCTGCTGAAGTGGTTGTGATCTGTGACTCTGGAGTTATTATTAGGAGCAGGACTTTTACTGGAGAAAACACCATTGTATTAAAGAGTGGAAATTGTTATATCTCTAAATCTCAGTTTCTCATCTTTAAAATAAGAGGGATTGTAGCAAATGACCACTTACATCTCTTCCAGCACTAAACTCTGAAAACAATTCTATCATCAATTCAAAGATAAAGTCTTTCTTTCTCTACATAAATCTAGAATTCATCAGGCCTGAGGATTGAGTGGAGATATTCTACCCTGTGAGGTTCTGTATAGATCAAATCAACACCCAGGAGTACTGTAGGATTTAGGAGTGAGCACATTGCCACTGCTCCCATAATCACAACCTATTTTGTTCCTGACCTTTTAGGACAGCATAAGCCTAGTTTTGATTTAAATAGGAAATCCTAAATTCAGGGCCAGAAACAGAATTACACAGTTTTCCAGAAATGGGAAATCAGTTGCAGTGCGCTAACTCATTCCCTTGCTGACTGTGATGTATGTGAAATCACAAAATCAACTTCCTTTATTATGCTCAGATATCTCAACACTTACAGTTATTATATTACGAATTATCCTCCATCCATGTATTGTCTGGACCATGGCTAAAGACAGTCAGTGGTCTTCAAGTGCTAAGATCCCAATTTTGCAAAATTTTAAAGACACAGACATTCCAAATTTCCTTTGTTTAACCTAGTCCTGAAATCGAAGTGCCTTTAAGTATAAATGACAGGATAATAGAACTCTAAGTCTGCTTTGCAGTGAATATTATACTTTCATTTTGCACAGTGGAACTCAAAATGCCTCACTTTATGCTGATGGTGGGCACTTTTAGAGTTTTTCATCCTCCTACAGTTAAAACATGACAAAGTGGCCACTTGCAAAAAGAGATGAAGGTGATAAGTGAGCATGAAATTTAGAGAAAATGAGACCATATTAAACACTACCTAGGAGTACTCCTATCTACCTCTATTTGTAGATACAATTTTAAATTTGCTGTGCCAAGAAATTTATATTGACTTTTTTTGTTGTTGTTGTTGTTAAAATTAGCTACCCCGGGGAAAATCATATAAACTATAGTAAAAACAGATTAGAAACATAATAATCCTCACAAATCAATTCAATCAGATAGACAGACATGAATATATAATTCTTATGACATGTAAATAATTCTGAAAAATATGTTACTAAAGCAACTTAAATATTAAAGATTAATGTTTTTATTTCCCAAATACAGCCTTAGGGCACTAGTTAAATACAGCTTGAGGGCTCTAGTCACATAACAAATTAAGTGCATAGCAAAATTTAAAAAAAAAAGAAAATGCCATAGATGTCCTTTATGATGTTGAGGTATGTTCCTTGTATCCTGAGAATTTCAAGGGCCTTAATCATAAATGGGTGTTGTACTTTGAGTAGGATCAAAACAAGGGGGGTGGGAATTGTATCGGGACTATAACCAAGATGAAAATGCATACATTGTGCAAAAATGAAAAATGATGTAAAAAATATATATAATAAAAAAAGAAAATGCCTTTTCTAAATATAAACTTTATTATTTTAATTAGTGTAGTTCTATATTAGTAAACAGAAAAATGCACATAAAATCCTCCCCACCAAAATATGGAAAAATACAGAAATGAAGCTAATTCTTCTAAAACAATTTTCTATAAGCAGATTTTTACCAAAAGTACTTTTCTCCATAGATAAACAACACGTAAAGTTAATGAAAACAATTATCACCATTACCAAATATTATTTTGGGAAACCATTTCAGAATCTGTTAAGTCAAACTGGATTTTAGTCTCTTGTTTGAAAGTAAGTAGTGACTTCCTTGACACAATAGACCCTTTTTTTCCCCCAAATAAACCAATATAATTACCAAGTAAGTTTATTTGAAATATTTTACATTTTTAATATATCTAAAAAAGTTAACTAATATATAGGACATGCCTGAGCAATATGTGGGATTTCTTTTTAAAGATTAAAGAAACAGGGGCCTCCTTGGAGGCGCAGGGGCTAAAAACACAGCACTATCAAGCTATCTCCAGCCACAGCGACCTGAGTTCTATCTCTGGCCACAGAGCCAACCCACATGGCACAACAGACCTCTCCTGCCTCACCCCCTGCTCCCCTTGGCAGTGTATTTTAGTAGATCTGCCTGTTCTGTTCCCCACCTGTCTCTGGCAAATCCTCTCATTCCCCACACCTCTTGCCCAAACCCCAGGTCTTGTACATATAAATAAATAAATGTTTAAAAAAAATAAACAAACTCATTGATGGAACTTGAAAGGACAATGTCAAGGGAAATGAATCAGAATGAGAAAGATAAATACCGGATGGTATCACTAATATGTGGAATATAAAGAAAATAAATTAATAGATTAAAGACAGCCGAAAAACTAACCCTTGAGAGCTGACTACAGAACTGAAGCACCAAAGTGGGGAAGGGGTAGGGAAGGAGGAAGAATAAAGAGGGAAGGAAGCACAATGGTCTATGGTGGTGGAATATGGGGGAGTTGGTGATGCGGGTACCCCAATATTACCTCAGTTAAAAATATTTTTTAAAAAAGTAAGGAAACTGTAATGAACTTGGATAAACCTTAATAAATCAGAACAAAATATCAAATTTGACCTAAAGTTGCTTTTAGGAAAAACATTCTAATTTTAAAAGGATCTAAATGATAACTTTAAATTTTATAATTATTTCAGCATTAAGCTAAAGTATGGTATCACCTGATAATTGGCTATGTTTTGATATATAAAATAAAGGTTATCATGTGATGGTCCTTTTTATGACTTAGCTTTGATGTGTAGCCATTAATTTAGCTATTGAAATATTTTTGATTGTATTCATAGATTTTTTTAAGTATTAGAGGAAAAGTGATTCAGGATTCAAGAAGCTGTGAACTCCTATGCCAGAAATCAGTATCTAAATATTATTAATATTTTAAAGTTAGTCTTAATAATTGCTTTATCAGTGTATAGTTATAATGTAATTATAATTGAGTCATTTCCTATTATAAGTAAAAATCTAAGTGATAGTTCCTAATGTAACCCAGCAAGCATTTTTTAATAGTAATTTAACACATAAATTAAATATGAAATTTTATTTACTACAAACTTTAAAACTTAAATTACTTAGAGGGCCTCCCTGGTGGTGCAAGGGGTTAAGCACAGCACTGTGAAGCTATCCTCAGCCTCTGCAGCAGGAGTTCGATTCCCAGTCTCCCAGGTTGCTGACCCACAAGGCACAGCAGACATTTCCTATCTTGCACACTGCTCCTGTCAGCAGTGTATTTCAGTCAGTCTGCCTGTTCTGCTCCCCACTCTGTGTCTGGTAATCCTCTCACCTCCTGTACCTCTCACCTGTACCCAGCTCTTGTATGTATAATTAAATACATCTTTAAAAATTAAAATAAAAAACTTAAGAGTTCAAAAATTATAAAATAATGCATTTTTAGTGAGTTATTATTTAAAAATTCCCTTCAAGGAGCCTCCCTGATGGCACAAGAGGTTAAGACACAACCTATGAAGTTATCTGCAGCCACTGCAGCACAAGCTCAAGCCCTGGTCAGGGAGTTACCCACATGGCCCAGCAGACCTCTCCTGTCTTGCCCGCTGCTCCCCTCAACAGTATATTTCAGTCAATCTGCCTGTTCTGTTCCCTACTCTGTCTCTGGAGAGTCCTCTCACCCCCCATACCTCTGGCCTGTACCCCTGTTCTTATATGCATAAATAAATAAATATTTTTTAAAAACTTTTAAAAAATTCTCTTCATGATCCGCTTTTATAGGCAGATTAGTAGCTTAAGGCAGCAATCTGCAAAAAGCATGGTTAAGATGTAACTAAATCAATTTTTCACAATACTTTGAGCATTTTAGTGTGAGATGTCAAACCATTAATTTTTATTGTTGATAATTAATAAGCTTACATCTGATAATTTTTCTAGCTATCAACATACAATTTATATTAAGCATAAACTCATCGTGAGCTTATCAGCAAGAGACTCACAATAAGTCACAAAAGATGTGGAAACCAAAAAAACTATGTAACTCATTTGAAAGAGACTGGAATAGGTCTTGTGTGTGATGTTAATGAGTTTTCTTAAATAACTTCCTTTATAATTTTTTTTCAAGTTCTTTCATCCCCTTGGTGATATTTATTTCTAGGTATTTAATTATTTTTCATATGAATGTCCACTTTCATGATTTCTTTTTCTTCTAGTTCACTGCTGGCATTTATCAACCATAATATGATTGATCACCTATGAATTCACTACACAATGTAAGAAATAAAATAAAAATAAAGTGAAACGTTTAGTAAAAGTGCAAAAGAAAAGTAAGTCTTTTTGACATTTCTTGAATTTCAAGTGTCTTTTCTCCCTTATAAAAGCTTCTCCATCAAATATAAGCTACTTTGTACTTACTTTGCAATCTTTTTTACAGTCAAAATTATTTTGTTTGTGATTTGAAGTACTAACCTCTAAATAAGTATCTATTTGACTTAACAATTGAATCCATCAAAATACAGGCCTAACAAAACAATTTCATTTTTCTTTTCTGGTTAATCTGAAGTGTTTAATCTTAAATTTCTGTCAAAATAAAGGACTCCCCCCCACAAATAATTATTTTGGATTTCTTACATATCTCTTGTCAATCATTCCAGCTAGATTGGGTGGGCATAAATTGTTCCACCATGGAGTCTCTCTCTTAACTTTAAGTCTAGACAGTATTGCTCATCTCTGCCATGAAAAAGAAATAATATCATATCATAAATTGACTTACAGTGCTATGTTTATCAGAAGGCATAGTTTAGAGATGGAAAATTCTATTATTTTATCTAATAGTGAAGCTGATATAAAAGATAATATTTTAAGAAAACATTCATGCATTAAGGGTATAAAATTATAAGATTACAAAACATGCAGTAAGGCTATAAAATAAAATTTTCCATAGTTTACTTTTTAATGTTATATATATTATCCACTAGGTAACTTTTCGATACTCAAGCCAATATCATTTCATTTTGCAAATTCATAAAAGTTTTAGTTTTACTAAGAAATATCATTAATCTTTTATTATATTTTCTGTTATCCTATAATGTATGTGATTAAATTTACACTTTGACGTTAGCAAGTACTGTCTTATCAATAAAAATAAGACCTTAGACTTACAAAAGCCATAGTTACATTGTTAGTTGGTTACTTAACATTAAATCAAAGATGATTTGCAATTATTTTTGTGTTAAATACAAAAGCCAACATTTATGGATCAAAGTACTATTTTTGGTCTTACAATCCAGAGTGATGTGGCTTAATAAGACATTTATTGATTCTGGAACCTAATGTTAATGGATTTGGGAATTATATGTATTCACTATCATTTTACAGTTACTCAAATAAATTTTCTGAAAACCATTAACTATTTTTCTTAAAATAATGATGTGTAATAATAAATGGTGTTATAATAACTTAAAATGGTAGTAGAATAGCTATTGCTTTGAGGTGAAAAAACATGTACTTTATCCTTTTCCTATCAGATTCTTCCTTGGTCTCTTCAATTCTGAAAGACTATCTGTACTCTAAGAGGAAAAAAAAGGAGTAAATCTATTCCTAGAAAACATATTTATTACTGTTATATCTATGATGGGTGTTTTCTGATGACTAGAGATAATCATAATGACTTGAAGCAAAAATTGCATTTATATAAGTTAATATTTGATACATTAACCATAACCCAGAAATAAACTCTTTGGAAGGAAGATGTTGCTTTATATTTTGAATCCCCTACTGAGCTCAAAACAGCCTGTACTGTGAGATGTCTATATTGTGTAAAAATTTTAATCACCCCAGGATTTAGCTGAATGCCAGGAATATAGTAGATGCTTAGTAAATGTTGCCAGAATTGAATACATACTTTATTAATTAGGTAGGTATAATAGGTATTTACTGACTCATTCTGAAAGACGTCTTAACACTTTTGAATATACAAGCAGCGAGCTCTCACCATATTGTTCAGTTGCTAAAAAAAAAAAAATGAAAGGTGAGATGGATTAAATATTCTTGCATTAAGGTAATAACTTGTTAAGTGTCATATTAGCCTCAGGTTACCAATTTTGCCCAGGTCTACGCTATAGGCATTGCAATAGAAATGTGTTTTCACATTAAAAGAAACATTTTCTTGTTTATAATAATGTACACTTGACTTTTTTATGTGTAAAATATATTTAAAATAAGCACACCATCATTGTTAGATGTAGTATAAGTTATTGGTTTAGTAGATTAGAATGTTGGGAGTCAGATTCTGTTCTGTTTAGGAAGTAAGAAGTAGCTTGATAAACTAGAACTAGGACGTCTGGGGCTTAAACAGACCTGTGTATTGTCCCTAAAATGTTAATCTACTCTCTACTCCAAAGGTACATTAACTCAGACATTAGCTTTATTTTTTATCAATTCTGAAAATTGTCCCATAAAATGTACAGAAGAAAATACTACATACATTCAGTGACAACTTCATCATTATAATAAAGAATAAGTATGAAATCCAATGAAAGTTACTCAAAAAGTCCCTCCTTCTCTCACTGATTCGTAATCTAAAAGCCCCAGGGTGGGGGGGGGCGGCGTACATAATGTGTTGCAAGGGAGACATTGCAATGACACGATATAAACTCAAATGTCTCGATGAAGATGAACTAATTTTTTCTAAAACAATTGAAAAAAAATTTAAAAAGTAAAGACTAAACACTTTAATAACAGAAGTCAATAAATGGCTTTAAAATATTGAAGAGGGCCTCCCTTGGTGGTACAGTGATTGAGCGCTGGGCTGCGAAGCTGCCCGCAGCCTCTGCAGCTCTAATTCAATCCCCAGGCCCCGGCAAGGGTCCCACATGGTGTGCAGACCTCTCCTGCCGCGCCCGCTGCTCCCCTCAGCAGTGTATTTCATCACTCTGCCTGTTCTGTTCCCTGCTCTGTCTGTGGTGAATCCTCTCACCCTCCTGCACTTCTGACTGTACCCAATGCTTATATAAATAAATAAATAAATCTTTAGAAAATAAATAAAATATTGAAAAGATAAAGAAAAGAAAAATGAAAGGAAAAGTCTTACTGGTCTGCATCTGTTTTTAACAGACACCCAATACACCAGTCCCTGAAGTTGTTGTCTGGGACCCTCTCAGATGACTCCATGAGGAGGCACAGCCTATGCGGACACACCAGTTAACAAAGCTCCCACCAAATATTTTTCACCAAATTGAGCGAAAGAACAGGTCAAGAATGAACTGTAGTGGTGCTTAAAAGACAAGATGGCCTTTCTGCTTCCTTCTTCCTTTCCTCAAAAACTGAATGAAGTGTTGTTAGAAGACACCATACTGCTGAGTTAATGTAACCTAAAAATTTACAGCAGGTTGTATGCCTGGAGGCACATTATGGGACCACCTGTAGGCATCTAATTCCGCTGAAAATAATAAATAATTGTGGAGAATTCCTCAGAGTGTAGAGGAGAGTGGATAAGAATCGTGTTGCTGGTTCACTCCAACACGGATTCTGTTGTGAAGGAGGATTAGAGAACTGTAGTCTCTCCAACAAATATGAGTAATCCTCTCTACAAAAGAGTCTGCTAAATGCAACACCAGACACCTGGGTGCCAGATCTACACAGCCATTTCTGGGGAATTTTTGATAATCCACCTGCAGAAATTGTCACATGGCAATTGCTTAATATAGCACATCGATCCATTTGAAGACTTTTTTTTTTTTTACAGTAAAGAAAGTTATTTTGTCTCTCTGCATCCTTGTTTATCTCTAAAGTCTTCTCCTATTCGGCAGTGTTAGAGAGTGACAGTAAAAATATCCCTGATGTGATTCCAAGCATTTATTTGGAAGAAATTAATATGTGCATTTTAGCAATACTGAACCACCTTGACCTTTTTGGACTGGAAGTTAAAATTAATTTGCTGAAGAGCTGCTTTAAGGAAAAAGCCAAACAGTTTGTTTGTTGTGCTTTTGCTACAAGGTAGGTAGATTTAGTGTTTTTCCTGTAACTACTCAGAGTGTATGTGTTATTTATTTCAGATCATATTCCACTATAAGACCAGTGAAATATTACACAGACATACATGCAAACACACACACACACTTACACATATACGAACTTTTATTGAGTAGGCTCCAAAAGCGAATCAGTTGGGCTACAAATTTCCAAAAACTTTATGAATTATCCCTTAGTGTTGGAAGACCTGCAAATATTGTTTGGGTTTTAAATCCATGACAACCTTCTTCACAAGGATCACATGGCTTTAAATTAAGAAAACTACATACAAATCAACGTGTAAGTACTGAAGATTGCATTCTTGATGGTATTAAAGTTGACATTTCCTTTCTATTTGTACTACATGAAGGGTTAATAAGGTTTGCATAACCTTATTCTTTGCCGTTTTTCAGCAGAGTATTTTAGGACTGCTGCCAAAACAAATTTTAACCCTTTTAATCATAGTGTTAAAATCACAATGTGCAGAATAGAGAGCATACTGTACATAAGGAAATGGAGCACTGAACACAGTTTGACCTGATATCCAATCAAGGAAAGGTTCCTAGAGACGCTTGCCATTTTGGTTGCTATGGTGAGTTTCATATTTTGTGGAAACCACTGCTAGATGTCTTAAAATAGACCTTTGCCAAGAAAAACATTGGTCCAGTGGCATATGCTGGCAGAGCATTGCAAGGTTGCTCAAATTCCCTTCCTTTGTTTTTCCCTCTCCCCCCTGGGGCAACTGCTCCAAGCATCAGCCCACTAGTCTGGCAGGCTGAGAATCCAGAAACTTGCTGCTAATTACAATGTTGACAATTCCCAACCTGTTTACTGGCGCCAGCAATCAAACCGCATCCTCTCGAGTGAACCAAAGAGCACTTGCTGGCTTTAGCTTCCTGAGGTTCCAAGCTGGCTATATTAATTACTGTTAACTTAAAACTGTATGTTGTACAGAAGAAGCTTAATTAGCTGATTTGAGGATTAAAATCTATCCTTTACAAATTTTAAATCCTTCTGTTCTTGATCAAATTGTGTGAATTCATAAAACATTGTTCCTTGGACAAAATGATTATTTTAGGCATGGTTCTCAGAGTCAGTTTTGCCACTGTTACCTTCAACTGAGCACCAAAAATAGATCAGATGGTAATCTCTCTCTCTCTCTCTCTCTCCTTCCCCTCTCCTTCTAAATCCCTCTTAGAATTTTCTCTACATTTTGTTTTTAATAATTGAGGAAAATAAAGGACATATTTATTTACAATGATGGTTTAGACTTATAAAGTATAACTGTATGTACATTTTATATAAATTACAAATTAAAAAAGGTAAAGTGATGGGAACAAAATGGTCAAAATGGTATCATTTTCATTTTAAAACAATGACAGTTGCAGTTTTTTAGTGAACTCTCCCTGCTGTATTAGAGGTCTGATTTGGGAATAGTAGTCTTTCAAGTAAAAGAAGAATGTTTCTTTGATCGATAAGTTTGGTTACCACAAAATGAGAAATCACCTCTGGGTCTCCTGAGTGGTTAGTATTACTGGCAATCCAGATGTGTCAGTGGCTGTCCACCAGGCAATTTGCATAAAAAGCACAACAGAAATGCACAAGGGTTTAGTAAAATTGAGAATTTTATTTGGACTCTTCTCTAATTGAGAGCTAACCTGTCTTCCTTTATTCAGCAAGATAGCTTTGGATACTTATAACTGAATTAAAAACAAAAATAAAATGATAATTTCTCTGTTAAAATGTGATTTAATAGTGTAGACATCATTGGTTGTATATCACTAATCTCATTTTTAATGTTCCATTGTATATATATTACATGATAAATATATGCTATTCCAATGGAAACTTATTCAATTGGGTTGATTTCATTGATATTAAAACTTTCCTGTTTTACTGAAATATTGGAAACGGGTAAAAGGTTAAGCTAGTCCTTTAATTATTTTTGTATTTATTTTCCACATTAATATTAATTTTGCTTATAAAATTTTCCTAGATTTTGAAACAAGCATAAGTACATAGACCTTTAGCATCCATTGTTACATTCCCAGCTATCTGTACAATATTTGAATTTGAAAAAGGTTAAATTAGATGAATCACTGAATAGTAAGAAGAATATAAGGACTATTGTCAGACATCAAGAAGAGTAAAGCTGCAAATAAAACTTTGACACTGAAATTTCAAGGTGGTATATCAGAAAGAAAACAGTGAAAGATGATATAGAAAATGGGTTCCAAATATCAATATCCGAGTGTCCGTGGCAACACTACTTTGATTTTTTTGTGTTGTGAAGATTTCACAAACAAAACAGAGAAGTTGAACCATATACCAAAAAATGGAGTCTGAGATAGAAAAGCATCAAAACAAATAAATATCATATTAATTTAGTATGGGCTTATATAAAACACGTGAAATTTCATATTGATATAGAAAACAGACTGGAAAATAATTCCATCAAAAAAAAAGCAAATGATCAAGTGGAAATGCTGTGTTTTTGGATTCAAAGGCCAAAGTAGAGAAGAACAAGTATGTTAATTTTCTATGTGTTTACCAAGGTTAATTAACAAATAGACTTTTCTAAAATCTAAACAAATCACAGTAAATAGGGAAATTTTAAACTCTCAGACAAAAGTATCTATTTTATATTGGGAAATATTACAAACACAATTTCTCAAGGCTACTTTATTTCTAAAGCACAATTTTCAAATATAGAATATATCTTTTACAAAAGAAAAATGCATAAAACTGTCATTTTAAAGCCATATCCTCCTTAAGCTTAATTTTCCAAAAGCCTGTCTTTTCTGAATGATGATCTTTCCTTTGACTTGCAAAACATCCAGATTTCATGCCTTTCTTTTCTACATATAAGCCATGCCCATTTTGCCCTGACATTTTATTTCAATCGCTCCACAGTTCTATACCAGAGTTAGACTTTCTAACTGAATAAAGGTAAGAACTTATGAATAATATGAAAGAATTTCTACTAAAGAATCCTACTATCCATTTTATATAGATATACATTGTAAAATAAATACTGGCAATTTCCCATTACAATTAGAACCATATACAGATGAAAACCTCTACTAAACCTTCCTAAAATTGGTATATTTTTCAAGGTATATTGGTACTGGTTAACAGGTCGACCAGTAAAATAGTCACCAATAATTTCATTATTGTTTTTTAACATGTCATCAAAAAACAGAGAATCCTTTTTACACTTTACATCCCTAATAGTGATGCTTGCTATCTTTGTCCATTGTCTCTTGTGGAATCCAATTGTTATCTGCACAAATCATTGAATCTAAATGTGACATGATCTCAAAAATTAAACATCAACTCTGAGTTTTAATATAACAAGCTTAAATGACAAAAATCTTTGTGGTTAAAAAAAAAAGCCTCATATTTTCCCTCTGTCCTAATATGTAGTCTGAAACATTCTCAAAGCTGTTCTGGACTACCACTCCAGCAACAGGAAAAAAATGGGTTATTTTCACAAAGTGCAAGTAAACAGCTTCCAAAACTCATACTTTTAACACCAGAAATCTGTTTGAAATAATTTGGTTTTGAAAGCTTTAAAGAATTTTTATTGAAACTACTCTTAGAGTTTTAAGTGGATATATTGGGTCATATCCATTATTAAATTGTGGGTGAAACATAATATAAATTATCAGGATAGCGCCAAAACATATTATTTTAACTTTTAGAGAATAGGTGTATTTTTTTTTCCTGTGTGTGGTTAAGGTCAACTTATATTTACTATACCTAGGAAATGCAGGAGCATTACAACTTCAAATAAAATTAATAATTTAATTTTGCTTATAATTTAAAATGCTTTGTTAGAACTGAAACAAATTTCACAGCTCCTTAGCTATGAAAATATATCTACATAGTAATCATTACACTGGATAAAATGCACTTCCATTGATTATTTGTTTAAACATTTATGAGATTTTACAAGTATTTACACATTTAATATTAAATAAAATACACTAGGTAGCATTTTTTCATCAAAAATCCACATGGAATGAAATGATTCCAGATTGAACAATTACTTGTAGTTTCAGAAAGAATGCAGCTTAAAAGAATTATTCTCATAGATTTTTCAGTTATTTAGGAGTTCTATCTGAGAACCATAGAAAAGAATAAGTAAACAAATTTGACCACTAGAATTGATATTAAACTAGATTTAATTTAAATAAATGCAACTCAACAATTATTTATATAATAGCTGCTTTTTAAAGGACAGTAATTGTGGAAAAAAATGTAACATTCTGTATTAGCATGTGTCTTGAGAGGATATCACTTTTTTCACTAAGTTGACAAATATTTCTGAGCACCTGTCATGTGCCAGACACTAGATAGGCTATTTTCAAAGGCTACACCATTTCTATGCCATTTTCGAATTAAATATCCTGGATAAATATTATTTTTTTAACAGAATATTACATAAACAGTAATCCCCAACTCCTCTAAAAACTGGAATTAAATTGAATAGCACAAACATTTACACATGGACTATATACTTTTTAAAGGCCCATGGTTTATTCTTTATGTACTACAATATTACAGTGTCTTTGAAAAGAGTTGGCTGTGGTTTGGTCTGATTAGGTTGAAGTGTTTTTGAAGTCAATCCCTGGTTTGGGGCTGCCCCATGTACATTACACATACAGAGACACATACACACATGCATTTCCACAATAAAATATTAGGGTGACTCTGCTAGTCATACTTTGGGAATTTTCTTTCAACTAAAACTTCACATTAAAACCAAAGATGAAGAAGGGACAGAGATGTTTACATGTTTTGAAAATTTAAGTAAAAACCTTAAAGAACAATTTCGTGTTAAGACAAAATATATTGGCGCCTTCAAAAGATTTCGTGTTTGAAATTTACTTCCTTAGTGCTGGTTTCAATTTGCATACCATCTTTACAGGATAGGAATATATCTCTATATAATATAAATAAATAAATAGCTCTTAAACAGGGAGAAGGACCTTCAGAGAATTTAAATCCAGCCACCTTATTGTAAATGAGACAGCTGAGGGTCAGGTAAGCTCTGTGGTGAGTGATATTTCAACAGAGCCTGTAATTCACGAGGTCAGATTTTCTGGCTTTTATTAATTTCCCTGTGTTATACATAAAATAATCCAGAATATTTATGTCCTATCTTAATATATTTCCATTATAAAGGAAAAACAATTTTCTTTGTATATATGTTTCTGATAGAATATTAGGTATGATATTAATTCATTCTTTTTGGATTTTAAAAATTAATGGAATAATTATAAACTATCTTTTATTGGTAACTTTAGTTTATCTTGGCACTTGTTTGAACCAATTCTTGAGATTGGCTACACTTGCACATGGAAATAAAAATAGACCTCAAAAAATTAATTTTCATGTGTGTAGTAGATATAAATTTTTAAAATATTGTAAGAAATATCAACCTTCTAATTATTATATTGTTGTTAGAAAAGAATTTTTAGAAACACCATCTCTTAAGAACTCATATTTTTTTCAAGTTTAAAAATAGACACTACTTTCAAGTTATGCAATTATACCACTATTGTAATATAATTTGTCAACTTAAAAAAGTGTGCTTTGATATAAATGACATTTTAACCAGGAACACAGTCTAAGTAAATAGATTACAACAATATAAGTGTGTTTAGTTTGAAATTAAATTGAGATTGGATATTGACTAGAAGCTAATAAAATAATGTCATAAGCCTTATTTAAAATCCTTTCAATGTTTTTAAGTTCATACTTTAATCTTAATCTAAACTTTGGGTTCATTTAGATGTGGCATGTGTAAATTTTTAAATAATGTAAATTATTATTTAGTTCCAAAGGGTATTTTCACAAACAGCAAATAACATGTCTTCACAATTGTATATATAATACAATACTTTTTGTTGATTTTGGAAATCAGATTGTCTTACATAGCTGTTGTTATTATTAACCAGAATATAACAGCACTCAGAACTAAAAGAGATTTAGGTAGTCACATACCAGAGACATACTAGTTCTATTGCTATGCTGCATCCAACAAACTCAGCTAATCACCAGCTATTAAGCACATTTCAAGAAATAAAATTTCCTATCTCTTTGCTAGCATATTTTTTGGATGAACTATATCTTCTTATTAAAGAGTTTGCAATATACACTCAAGCAAAATGTTTTGTAGATCAAAATTGAAGAGTTGTAAGTCATGATTTAACCTGTGTCAAGGGAAAAAATTCTCAAAACACTTTAAAATAAATTGTACTATAAAATTGTTTGTTTAAAATCTATTCAGTCTTTGACATAGTAAGTTTAATATGCAGATGACTCTCAGAAATTGTAAGAACATCACTTTGCCATTTCTGTGATATAGTGATAGCTGAAAATGTACAGTATTGAAAAGTTGGTGAATAATCGCCTGAGTCTTACACTATTTTCTATGACCTTGGTCCTTCTCTGTCTTACATAAAAGCACAAGATACTCCCAATATACTTATAATTTCAACCTATACAACCTGTCTATTTTTATACTGGAAAATTTGCCATTACTGATGTAGAATGTAACAAGAAAAATATAACATGGTTATGGTATTTCCATCTATCAAAATGTTAGTTCATCCTTTGCCTGGACATTGACTGACAGTTCTGTTCTGGTTCTAGATTAGCACAGCTGTGACATCAAGAACCATTCCATTTTAAGGATAACAGTAGACTTGGGGAAAGATCCAGGATAAGATCATTTATTAAAAAGTGTACTTAGTCACAGTTATCAGTCCAGTAATTTTTTTTTCTGTATTCACATAGAAGTTATCATAATCCTCAGTGGATCTTTAACCTTGGATACCATCATCCCTTGCAATTCTATTCAAGCAAAAATATCATAACAAAAATATGCACAAACACAAAGATAAAATCAATAAGCTCTTTGCAAAACATAATTTACATCAAAATCCTTACCTGAGAGACTCAGTAGTAAGCCATCAACCAAGATATTTCTTATATCTATTAATGAACATTACAGTATAAATTTAAAAGTTCACAGACATAAATTTCTAAGGGAAACTTGAAATCTTCCACCTATAAACCATAAGTCATATTTCATAAAAAATTAGTATTTAGGCAAGCCTGACATAACCAAAGCATTTTTCATAAGTTTTCTCCCTTTTCCTCCTTGAGCTTTACTATTACTCTCAAATGAATAATCCAAGCTGTCTCATTATGCTATTCTCAGGTAGAAATTCTATCACCTGCATAAAGCAAAACAATTTTATAAAAAGAATGAATACCCTTCTACTATTTGGACATTAACTGAAAAACAACCCATCTATTATGATTCCTTAGTACCACTTGAATCTAGCATGAAAATCACAATCGCTTTACACTTCTTTAATATTGTCTATGGACACTGACAGGGCAAAGCAAAAACTGACTAGTCGTCACGTAATTTAAAAATCTATTTTCTGAGGTGAAAAAAGTTGTCTTATAAAAATAATAATAACTAACTATGGCAAATTAAATTTCATAAACTTTTGGGTATTTTTCCTTCATATATAAAAAGAATCAATCTGGTAAACTACACCCCCTACACACACTTTTTTTTCTTTTCAAATTTAGATAGAAACTAGCTCAGTCAGACTGACACCTAATGGAAACTTTTATAAGAAAAGAATTCTGCGTAGGAAAGAAAGCAAAGAGCTAAGTATTTAAACCACTTGAACCAAGAAAATAAAAGTACTTCTTGTTGATCATGAGATGAGTAGAGGTTTTCTTTAGATTTCATCACCAGGATTTACAATTATTCCACTCTAGAAAATATTATTCATTATGAAGCACTTGCAATCATAAGCTGAAGTATCAGTGGCAAAAAACTGAGATAGCTTATTTTCAAAAGTTCTTCCCCCTTCTCAAAAAACCACAGATGTATTACATTTTCATTTCTCACAAACTCTATCACCAGGCCTCAGCTCCCTTTCTCTGCTTTTCAAACCTTATCTACTTGTTAAGCCAACCAGCACTGAAGTCAACTTCCCAAAGACCACCTTGTTACTAGATTACATAGCTTCTCCCTACTTGCCTAATTCCCCAATTAAACAATGCCACCAATAGACATATTGCATTTTGTTAAATACATAACAAGAGCAATATTTAAAAGCCCTTAATCACCAACTGCTGGATCCCCAGAGAGAGAGAGGGTAATTCATGGTACAATGAAGGAAAGAACAGTAGTTACATCTTCTCTTGTTAGTGATAGAATGTTGCGTGCAAAGATAGCATCTGTGTTTGCTTTTTCTACTTCAACTCATCCTTAAAATGGACTCGCTCAGGCTCTGGGAGTTTCTGAGAAAGGTGCCTTTCTTTTTTCCTGGTCAAAAACCATCCCTGAGAGCAAAAGCGGTGCATGTAGAGACCCTAGAGTAATTGTGGGCTCAGAAGCGGTGTGATGGAAAGAGATGGGGAAAGAAGGAGCATTGTGTACCCCTCACTAGGCATCCAAAGTATTGGGCAAAGGCGAGACTCTAGAAGGGCAAACTTGAGGGTGTGCCTGCCTCCTCCAGCACGGCTCTCAGCATCTCCAGGGCTCAGAGGTGCTCATGAGCGCAAGAACCCAATGGGTCCTCCAAGGGAGAAGGTGTCTGGGGCTTAGATCAATTTAGAGCTGGTTTGGGAGCACCAGGAGGGATTACGTCTCAAGTTTCTTTTTTTTTTTTCCTTCTTCCCGCAGTTTCGACGTAGGAATTCAGTCTTTGCAGCCCCGGGAACAACCACCACCAAGCTGGGAGGAAACCGGGTATTAGTGTTCCAGGAGGTTCTTGCCAAGCCTAGTAGAACCTTCTGGGCATCTGGTACGGTCTTGTTCACAGCATTTTCTCCTCCCACCTTTGAAGCGCCACCACCGGGCGTGCCCTGGCGTCTTGCAAGCGGGAGAGGGAAGTTGCAGAGCTGCGTGGTCCGCCGCCCGCAAGAGCTGAGAGAGCTCAAGACTTGGCCCGCATCTTCTACAGTGGATCTGCTTCCCCAAGCTCCACCTTGGGGTTCTGAACTCCTACCACATCCGGTTGTCCTCAGTTGTGCGGGGATGCTCGAGGCAGTCAGTCGGCAGGTGGTTGCATGCTCTTCGCTAGGAGGGGATCAATTCCGTCATTTTTTAATCGTCCATTAATACTCGAAATAAACAAAAACTAGAAGCAGACGGAGGGAGGGGCTCGCTCCTCCGCTCGCCCCTTAGCAGCAGACCTGAGAAGGGGTACGTGCCTTGGGTTTGTTGGTGTTTGAGACTCGTCCTAAAGGCAGAGGCAGGGAAGACAGCGCTGAAGAGGTGTCCCACACAAACTGGACGGCCGAACAGTCACTGCCTGCCCCAACCACTTTCAGGAAGGTTCCAGTTCTGTGTCACACCGCAACCAATCCAGTCCCCATCCTGTTTCTCCTCCCCTTCGCGGAGAATCCGAAAAGAAAATATGGGTTCCTGAGGGACCAGCCACACTTGCAATCTGGAAGGTCCGCGGGGACCCCATCCCCCGTCCCTCACCCCCTCCCCAGCCCCGGCCGCCACGTCTGGCTGCAGAGAGCGGCACGGCCGGGGGTGGGGCTCCGGCACCGCCCCGACCCGGGATTCGCGAAGTCACGAGCTTCTGCAGCTTTGCGGGGGCACCTTCGCCACGGACACGCCCTTTCTGCGGAGGCAACCCCCCAGCGACCCTCTGCTGAGCTCCAGCTCCTCACTCGCGACGCCGCCAAACTGCTCAAGGCTTTTCAATCATTCCCAACTTTAGAGGCGCTCCCGGTCCGCCTCTGTGCTCCCGCCGCACCCACCCCGGAGACACTTGCAGGCCCGGGATGCCGAAACTCACCGCAGGATCCCCCGAACAGACCCCTTTCTTTACCCCGCCCCTTCCTTCAGCCTCGCCAGCCCCCACCCCAAACCCCACCCGCCCCTCTGCGCGCACCCATTCCACAGCCCTGGTCATCAGAGGTACGGCGCACAGAACCTTTCTAGTGGGATTTCTTGCAATCACCTAACACGCTACCCAAAGCGAAAACACCCAGGAAAAGGAAAGATAAAAAAAAAGTGCTACCTTGGCAACCACAGGCGTTTAGAGGCCAGTTGGTGGGCTGGGAGGGGCGGCCGCTGCCGCCTGCCGCTGGTACTCTCCTCGACTACGCGTATTCTTAAGCAATAACAACGTAATCCGTATTATCCACCCAAGAATACCCGTCACCGAAGAGAGTCAGAGGACCAAGCTGCTGCTGCTACCGCTACCGCTGCTGCTGCTCCTGCTGCTGCCGCCACCAGAACTCTTGCTGCTGAGCCCGCCCCTGGCTGGGGCTGGGCTGAGCTTGACCGGGACCATAAATCCATAACTCGATTTCCCTAAAGAAGGTTCCAAAGCTGTGCTCCGCTGCTTCCTGCCCAAATCCAAATGGCTGCTCTATTTCCAATTCTGAAAGACAAATCATAAAACCAAGCACTTAACACAGAAGGAGAAGAATGTTTTTCCCAGAGAGGAAGGAAGATGTGGCAAGGCTTTTGGGGCACAGGGTGGGCGTGACAAGTAACCTTTAGTTTACCTGGTGCTCTCCCAGTGCCTTCCTCTGTACTTGCTTTGCTTCGTTCACTCTCTTATCTCAGCCAGTCCACTCTGGGTGCTTTGAGTGAGTGTCGTGGCAGCGAGAGAGCCCTGTAAAAGACATGCATAGTTAAGCACACAAATATTACAAATGTATTTGCCTAGACGGCTATAAGAAGAAGTGAGGCTCAAATAAAGATAGGGTCATGCATGGGTGAAATATTCAGCAGTGTGTTTGGAAATGCCCAAGATCACAGAAAATAAACACTCATTCAATTTACTACTTGAAATCAAATACTTATAGATCTACAAAAATAGGCATCTCTCCTTTGAAGGCCTTAGAGCTATACAACACAATGATTTTTAAAGGAAAAAAAAAAACTTCAAAGCACAAAATAATTAAAGTCATTTTCCATAGTATCAGAACTCCCTGAGTTGACAAGCTGTAGAGTTTTTATGATTTAGGCATCATTTTGCAGTACCACCAAATATAATTCTATTGCCCACCTTTTAAACATACAGCATAAATGCATTGCTGTGCAGTTGTGAACACGTTTAAAGATATACCTCTGAAGCTCTGTCTTTATAAAATATATTTTAAGAGAAAAAACAATAAAAACTCATTTGCAAAGTGACTGTAATTTGGCTTTCAGAAAGAGAATCTCTGATTCTTTGATGATCAATATGGCTCTTACTGGAAAAGCTTTGTCTTAAGACCCTGAAGTGAATATTCTGATAATAGGGGTTTATTGTTCACTAAATAAAATGGACAAGTGCAACGTCACTACCCAAGACATGTTGCAGTTCCATTAGAAAGTTAACAATTTGCTTTTCTTTTTACTCTCAAATACATGGAAGTACATCCATGTGAGTGGAACAGGCAGGGAATATGGAAACATGGCAATAGACATTATGATTCCTCAAATTATGTAAGTGCAAATAGCTCTTCATCAAGGAGTAATTATATAACAGAATCTCTCCCACTACCACAACTCATCTCTAACTGACCTGGTTGCAATTTAAAGCACTTATCGTGTGCTTGCTCTTCTTACTTAAAAAAAAAAATCACTTCTTCAGACACACCAAGTCATCAGTTTCCTGACATGTTACTTACAAACAGAAAAATCAACAGGAATTCTAGGCTTCATGAACAGTTGCTTAATATATAATGTCTGTTGCCAAAAATAACTCCAAAGAAAGGCAGCATTGCCCAATTACTAGCCTATTTTACAGTATTTTCAGATGACTCTTAAGTACACCTTTCACAAAAAGACAGATGCCAATTAAACAAATTAATAAGCACTATTTTCTGCCATTACCTAACATAGCTATAAAGTGGAGCTTTTCTCTGGTGCTGCTGCACACACAGACACACACAGACACACACACACACACAGAGAGAAAGCTGACAGGTTCTCTTCAGCTTGAACTCCTAGAAACAAAAGCCCTTAGGGAAAGTAATGCAATAGTCTATGAGCAAAGTGTACATTTGCTCCTGAACTCTTCCATTTAAATCTCAACTAACATTATAAGGAAAAGAAGAAGCACATCATACAGATAGATTTTGATTTAGCAAATGGAACGTTCCTTTTGAATTAAAAAGGATTAGAAAGACATACAGTCACACACACAAACACACACATACACAACAATACAACAATACACAGTATATCAGATTCACACCCACAGAACAAATACCCACACAGCTTTTCCATGCTTTTCGAGTGATCTCCTTTAGTTTTGCTTCCTCACAATTCAAATAACACACACACACACACACACACACACACACACCACATACACATTGACCCACACAGACTTACGCTTTAAGCAACTAGAACAACGCAATGGATATGCTTTCTTTCTATCCAAGTAGCCAATGCCAGCTCTTTGCCTACCTACCAAATGTTCCACCAGCTTCAGCACCTGGACGAGTGGACAGCTCAGCCCGGGCCGACTGCCGGCAGCACTCGCAGCAAAACTGACGCTCTGAGCTCTAACCAAAGCTCTCTCGTGCTTCAGCGGGGCAGCCTGACTTACGAGAACACCATTTCCTACGAGACCACTGCCGCTGGGTGCATATTCAATTCAAACCTCCTTAAGCTGTCGGATTTCCCCCACCCATCCACCCTCCCCCCTTCTCCACCCTCCACACAAAAACAGAAAAGGCAAAAAGCCCAATACCATCAAGGCGTTTGTTGATCAACTTACACTTTGCTTTTGAATATTTAGATACTGCCAGCGGAGCAATATCAACGGAGGCTTAGGTCCGCATTAAGTACCTTTGTTCATCGACTCCTGCAAGCCATGTTTATTAGAATCTACATTTCTCTCGCGCCCCAATAACTAAAGGTGTGTTTTGCGGGCGGGGGGGGGTAGGGGGGGCTTTCAGCACCTTTTGATCTCTTAAGGCCACCGCACTGACTGCTAGTCCCCACTACTTTCCTACCCTGTTCCCCACACTCCGACACCCATCCCAGTCAAATGCTTAGTAATTTGCAACCAAATATACATAAAGAAACGCGACAAAGCAATCGGTTTGAGGAAATAAGCCAATTAAGCTAAAGCAGAAATGCTTCTCTCCCCCCTCCCCCTTGACTCCCTCCCTCTCCTGCTCTCTTTCCCTCTCAAGTAGAAAGGGGGAAACACCAAGGAGAGGGAAAAATCGGGAGGAGGGTGGTAGTCGACTCTTACAATCAATGGAAAAACACTATACACATCTTTACTGAATAATACTCTCATTTTCAGACAAAAAGAAACACATTTATCAATGTAAACATAGTCTCCCTCTTCCACACATCCTACATCCTTTACGTTTGCTGAGATTTGTCTTTTGGTATAGCAAAGTAACTGCCACAAATCCATCTCGATTGAAGTGCTTACCCTCTAAATCCAGGTTTCAAGCGGAACTCCAACTGTGTGTAGAAGCCAGGGAGTCATCAGATGAGGGGTGAGATAGGCTGTGGGCAGTCGGAACTGCTTCCCTCGGAGTGCTGGGTTACAGTGTTAACAAGCCCTGGGAAGGGACCTCGGTGCCTCACGCTGGCTGTGCCCCAGTGCCTTCGCGTGGTGGCGGCTTGCTCACGCTTCCAAGGAGTCCCAGGCGATAGCCTTCAGCTGATGCGAGCTTCCAGAAAGGAGTGGGGAAGGGGAAAAAAATCATCTAATGCAATCAAATCGATCTGATCTACACCATCTGTCGCCTGCCACTATACACAAACGTTAAAATAGGAAAACGGAAAACACTGACAGCCCGAGAGGGTTGGTCTGCAAAGAGTTCATTTTTAGCAGAGCATAATTGGGTATGGTCGGCATACAGTTACAAAAGCTGCTGTTAACCATCCAGTAGTGGATCCCAAACATGCTAATGGTGGATTAATTGAGGAAGATCTGACGTGCAAGCTTCATAGTCTCTTATTCATGACTTCCCAATGGGAAGGGACCAATGCCTTGTGGGACTATGGTAACATACAGTCAAAAAGCTGCTAAGAAAATGGCTGTGTGTTCACAGCACCTCTCTCTGATAACAAACATATGTCGACTAAAACGGTTTAGTAGAATGGGAGGGGGGGTGTTGGAGAATAAAATTTTCTTTCCGGGTGTAAGCAAGCCCCATCTTCTTTCCTAAAAGAAAAGCAAAAATAGATACCATAGCTGTACCATAGGGAAAGGAAAAGGTTGTTTTAAAAAGGTTTTGATCAAGATTAAACTCTGTCATATGAATGAAACAGAGTACTCCTGTGCTGCAATTCTAAAAAAAAAAATTGATTATCATTTTTTCCCCCTTACAGTGATCAAAGTAGATCCATAGCATGTGCAGTATATAGAAACTCAGTCCAGTTAATCCCACCAGGATTGACTGGAGGTTGTTTAATGCCAGG